TGAACACTCGAAGGATATCATATGTAGTTGACAAGTTGTAGCGTGTATCATTGTGAAGACAAGCATATGATATAATGACATTCGTTTTGGATTCATTTGAAGACTTTTTTTTTCCGAACTAAGTAAATTACGAAAAATATTTTTTCATATCTAGATTAATAAGACTTGTCTAATTTATATCATACATGGATCTCGTTAAGGCAAGCTTAACATGTCCAATTGTCCATACAAGTTAAACACCCCAAAAAGAAGAACTAGCTTATAGTTATATACTCAACCGCTTAAATTAATAATCAAGTAGAGTTCTAATTGTTGATGAATGTTTTTATGCTACCATCAATTAACTATCCCAAAGTTATCATAATGTAGATAGCGAGATACTTGTTTTTGACAATAATTAGATTATTATTTTATAATTATATTACATCTTTCAAGTATGATTTAATTTCAAACTCTATCAATGTAAGATATTTTATGTATCTGACTATTTTTTTTTTTATCTTTTAAATAACACGCACTTTAAATAAGACTTTATTTACGATGCCGAATTTGAGGAATTTAAAATATTACGATGACATTGATTACACAAACTTTTGTCGATGTAGCTTTCAATGTCCCAAGATGAAAATACTCTTTACATCTTGTCCATTTCAACTTATTGCTTTATTTTATCAAATTTCCCAATTTTTTTATACACCAAGGTGTTTATAATAATAATAATATATTAGCTAATTAATTGAACTCTTCATGCTTCATGGAAATCGAATAGACATCCTAAATTATTTTAATTTTAAAAAAATACTTTATCAATAATTATATTTGGTCAACCCTATTTTTAATTTCTAAAAGTTATAAAGCACGTTCCTTCATGAATTCACGCAGTGAGTATTTCTACTTTTTTTTCCTTCCCCAACCGCGTTAAATCACTAAAATGGACTTTGACTTTGTTACCATATCACCAAACAAGTTCTGTTGAAAATTCAAATTTCCCATGAAATCGTAAACACATCATTGAGTCTTACGATTTATTTTTAAAAATTAAGTTATATATACTAACGATGCAGTTTATCAAAATTAATCTATTTAAATATTGAAGTGCACCGAATTAGAAAAGAGTAGAGATGGGGAAGACGAAGTTAGAACCTCAACAATCCAATACCACAATAACTCATTTTAGTCATCCTCACACTTTAGAGCTAATTACTCATCAAAATTTTGCTCCATCACAGCTATGTTCATGCTGCAAAATTCAAGCTAATGGATCTGTCTACACTTGCAAATCTTGCAATTTTTTCCTCCATGTTGAATGTTCCCAAATGCCACAGCAAATCAATCATCCATTTGACAAACAACATGCTTTATCTCTGCTTCCAAAGCCCATTTACCCCGAAGGGAATTTTCGGTGTGATGCGTGTGGAGAAACAGGGGATGGATTTTCTTACCACTGCAACAGTTGTGCTATTGATCTTCATATACTATGTGCAGTTCTGCCACAATATATCGCTCATCGGTCTCATTGTCACCAGCTTGAAATTCAATTTTCATCTCCTTACCCTAGTAAATCATTCCGTTGTGATATTTGCAAGCATGTTGGAACCAATCAATGGCTCTATAGATGCCATACTTGTGGTTTTGATGCTCATTTGAATTGTACAAAGTTGCAAAGTCATTTCCATCAGAACCCAATAACAAGTAGTAATTCTAAATCTGCTCCTCAGCATCATTGCGCAGGTAATAAATTTTTACCCGTAGCAGCTGTTTTTTACTCCCCTCGTCTCAATTTATATGACATAGTTCAGATTTCAAGAGTTTTAGCATAACGACTAAATTTATGTCTTACAGGTGTAGATCATATGAATCAGGAGATTAAAAACGAAATATCGTCCTTGGAAACTCTGCGAAAGCAAAGAGAAGATGAGGATAAATTGATGGCAGAAATGATCATGGGCGGCGTTAATCATGAGACTCAACGACTAAACCAACTGCTAGGCCGTACAAATCCAGGGAATAACAACGGAACTGCTGCTGCAACGCAATTCGGGGCAAGTCAGAACAACGAAATGTCGTTCCCTGAAATTCTGCGAAAGCAAAGAGAAGATCAGGATAAAATGATGGCGGAAATGATCTCGGGTGCTACTTATAGGCAGAATCAACAACTAAGCCATATGATAGCCGCTAGTTCTCTGAATAACCAAGCAATAAATCATCAATTTAACCAAACACTTATGAGTTATGGAGGCTCTGCTGGTGGTGGTGCGGCGGGACAAGGGCAAATACCAAATTTATACCAAAATACAATGGGTGCTGGTCTATTTAATACTGGTGCTGGTTTTGCTGGTTTGGGTTTGAATTCATTGTTTGGAAATCTTAAATTCTGAAAATTATTTCAGATTTACAAACAGTCAAAAAGAATCTTAGTTTTATTGGTTAATTATTTCGTTTTGTGCATCTATAATGTAATTCTGTTTTATAGTTGTTGTGAATTTTAAATTTTATTGTTAATTTGAATATTGGAAGATGTGAAAATCCAGGTTTGTGTAAGTACTTTTCCGGGCCCCTTTTACCAACTCTTCCCCCTAGTTTAGCTCACCATTAGCCGGTAGCTTGCATCGTTCTCCAAGTATCTGTTTCGAGTTCAGAATCAAATCTTAGGCACGTGACATTATTTTAGTACGGTTTAAAAATAATCTTTCTATTCTTTCTCTGTAAGTTTTTTGGTTTATAGATAAACCCTTCAATGGAAGAAACGACTTCTCATTTTCACTTTTAATACATATTTCCGCCATTAAATGCTAAGAATTTTTGGATCCTATTCTTTCTTGCTCTACTGTTTGTATTTTATGATTGAGATTTTCTATTAAGTTTATATTCAGTTCATTTACTCTCTTTTTTTTGGTTGACTTAACCAGAAAAAAAAAAGAGATTTGATGGACTCTAATTATTTTTTACCTAAATCGATTTAGCCCGTATATTTATTTAATTACTTTTCAAACAAAATATGTTGCGTATCTAACCGATTGAGTACATCTCAAAAATATATTTGAGCTAAAAAAGGATATTCGTCGGTTTGGCGTAAAAATTATTTTAAGAAAATTGATGAACCGGGTTGACTTCTACTCAATTTTTATGGACCGACTCAATTCTTCGTTTTGTTCCTGTTTAATAGGGTACAGGAATTTCTGAATTATTTTATGCCAGAAAAAGTGTGAAATAAGAACATAAGGATTAATAATACTTAAATTGATTATTGAAATGACTGAAATAACTCTCATGTGTTAAAAAGGAAATTCTTTTTAGAAATTATATATGCTATACCAGAAAAGATGAAATTCACATTACAATTCTTATATGGATTCCTACATTTCAATTCTTGTAGAATTTCATCCCCTAAATTGCATTATTGATACCATCCTAACATGTCTCTCAACCAAATGACTCTGTATTTCCTGTATCAAGTACGTATCTCACACCTCCATTGGAAAAAATAATAGAAGAGAAATGAATGATAGAGGAGAAAAAAAATAATTAGAGAATAATTTCAAATGATTGTGGGTTAGAAGATGTTGAAAATGTCATAAGCAATGATGATTAGCTTACTTGACCATGTTGAAACTTTATTTCCAAACATATGATAAATTATAAAAAAAAAATTTAATGCATTGATAACTTATTTCTTATTTAGCTATACGAAATGTCCCTAATGATATATCATTAGTAATGAGTAAAGGATATTGTTCGTGCTATTAAGATTATTATGTACTGTTTTTTATACTATTATTATTTCCTTTTTGTCCATTAAATGAAAAATTAAATTGTGAGGTTGCACGTCATGTCTGTCCAAGATTTAGAATGTTTTGTTGACAAAGCCCCTCGAGATATTTTACGGTAAATTTGCTAAATTTTTAATTCTTTGTTTTAATTAAAGATACTTTATTTGTCCATTTTTTAATTATTATATTATGATTTTTGAAAGTTAATTTGATTAATTTTTAAAATTAAATTAAATTAAATTAATTTGATATTTCAAAAAATAAATTTGAATATTTAAAAATTACGTAAAAAAAACTATAAATTTCGATTCTTTTGTATCAATATAATTAAAATAGATTATAGAATATAAATCAAAATTATAATCGTCGAACTCTAAAAAAAAATTATAATAATTAAAAATAAACGAAAGTACACAAAATATTTTCGTTAAAGAAAATAATTTTTGAAACAACCAACTTAGGTTACAATTCATTATTTTATCCAATTTTCTGTCTTGCGCTACACTAGGGCCTTAAGTAGGCTGACAGTAAATATGCGACATCCTCCCTCTTTATTTCTTGTCAAATATTTTTAGTTTAATTTATCTCTTTTATTTATTATTTTTAATATATTAAAAAAATAACTTTTTTTCCTATTATATAATCAATTTAATAAGTTGATATCATTGAAAATGCCCAGTTCACTTTTTAATTATTATTTAGTCTTAAAATAGATTTTCATTTTTATTTGTTACTTTTATTATTTTATATAATAAGAATAAACAATTACTTTTTTTTTCCAGTTTTGATCCAAAGCATTAAATACTATTCTCCATATTATTTTAAATTATTCAATATTTTACATAATAATTATTTTCTTAATAGGTGGGTCAAGTCAATGAAAAACTAATAAAAATGAAAAAATAGTAAGTAAATATGTTTAACACTAGATTTTCATTTATATTTGTTACTTTTATATAATAAGAAAAAACAAGTACTTTTCTTTTCCAATTTTGATCCAAAGCATTAAATATTATTCTTCATATTATTTTAAATTATTCAATATTTTACATAAATAATATGTCAAATTAATCAAGAACTAATAAAAATAAAGAAAATAGTAAGTAAATTTGTTTAAGACTACATCAAATAATAAATTTATTTTTAAAAGGAAATAATTACTAAGGCTTTTCTCCTAACCTCTTGTTATTTTAGGACAATATTTTGCGGTTAATTATTATAAGGATGCTTTATTTCCACTAACCCAAAGGTGCGCGAAACCCATGACCTTTCATTTTCTTCTTTGTAAGGCGCTGGCCGGCGCTTTCTCTATTTTTTACTTTCTTCTTCCTCGGATACTCTGATGATCAAAATGCCATTTCTTTTTCTCTTTTTACAAGAATCACTGGATGCCCGATGTATCAAGAAAACCATGGATTTTCTTCATTTGGATGCTTGAATGTCATATTTCTTGCAGGTTTTTAATCAATTCTTGAATTCGGTTTTTCATTTATCTTGCTTTTTTTTTGGGGTCCCTTTAAGCCCTGTTTTATGATTCAGTGCTTGACTTTTTTCTTTTTTTTTTGTTTAGGCAAAATCTAGACTAGTAAAGGGGTCTGCTTGGTTGTTCTGGATAAAGGGTATCTTGGGAATTAAGTGGTATTAGTAGGATTAAACTGGATGTCTGATAATTTGATGGATGATGTTGTGATGGATCTGGATTTGAACCAAGAACCTTTGGACCCATCTTCTGGTTCAGCTTTAGGATTAGGGTCTTTGTTGAGTGATTTAGAATCTGCTCATAGTAGGATAGAGGAGAGAATTAGGCAGCTTGAGGCTGTTACTGCTAGGGCTTTGCAGCGCCATAGGTGGCGTCAGGCTCGGAGTACTATTGATACTGGTAATGTTTCGGTTGACCCAGTAGTCAATGTGGATAGTGATATGCAAGGTCAGAATAGGGTGAGCAATTCGGATATGGTGGAAAGGACGGTTGAGAGGGGAAAAGGATGCAAAAGGGATAGTTCCCATTTGGTAGCAAAGGCATTAGAGATGGATTTAGTGGTTAATAAGGTAGATGATGACAGTGGGAGTTTTTTCGACTGTAATATATGCTTGGATATGGCGAAAGAACCTATCTTGACCTGTTGTGGACACTTATTTTGCTGGCCATGCTTTTATCAGTTACCTTATGTTGATTCAACTACAAAGGAATGTCCTGTCTGCAAGGGAGAGGTTGCAGATGCAAATGTTACTCCAATTTATGGTAATGGAGACGGTGAAAGCATTACAGAACTGGAGTCTGGTCTGAAAATACCACCACGGCCAAAGGCACGTCGAGTAGAGAGTGTTAGACAGCAGCGTGCAACTCAGGGTTTATCTCACATCCCGGTTGCAGAGGCACTAAGAAGAATTAGGACTAGTATTGGATTGGGGCACCACCTGCAGCAACAGGACAGTGGTGGAGTTAATTTGAGTTTTGGTAGCAACTCTCATGTGTTGCAAACTGCTGATACCTTAAGCAGTAGGAGACTACGTTCCCGTCTTTTTTCTAGGGTGCTGTCAGAAGGTGCTGCGTCCCTTTCATCAGAGTTGGATAATGCACAACGGATGTTTGAAGGCCTTGCAGCATCATTCAGTGATCGGCTTCTCCAAGGAAGCAATGTTGATGTTATACCAGCTGTTCATGGAGCAACAGGTGATGGTGATTCTTTCAGAAGAGATGCTGCTCTCATACAGTCCAATTATCGATCTCTGGATGCAGTTACAAGGACAGGTTCCACTGCATCTGTCCCGTCATCTTCTCAAGCAAATGAAGTTTCTGTTGCTGCTGTTCAGTTGGAAAACCTTACAACTGATACTGCTGATCTGCCTGCCATACGATCTTCCTTGGCTTCCAGGAGAAGAAACATTTTGTCAAGGCTTTCTGATGTAGATCTCCGTGAATCTAGAAGAAGAAGATTGAATTGATGGCCTTTGAATGAATAAGGTATAGTTTCCCAGTTATTCTCTCTACCCAATTATCGCCTTGCCAATGCTTGCCATTTTCATTCCGTCGTGTTTTGTGCTAACTCTAACGCGGTTTGGGTAGAAACAACTCCCAAATATCAACAAAGTATCAGCATTGCCTTTGACTCTTGTTGGAAGTGTATTTCTACAACACATTTAGCCTCTTCTAGTTTTGGAATTCACAAGCACAGTGAATTTGCTTGGTAGGAGGCTTCCTCAACAAATAATCAACTCTTGCTTCATGTATTAGGTACTTTTGTTAAGAACCAGTATGAAGTATGAATTCTATCTGCTTGTTCTCTACACATTTGATAAACACTGTTGATTGTACAATGGAAATTCCAATTTGATAAATTGAAACTTTAGTATTCTACTTTGTTTAGAAGTAGTAATCTTGTGCATTTTGGAATTTATATATTGTTCACATTGGGTCTAAATGAGGAAAAGATAAATATTGAACAAAATCTTTCAAGGTCAATTTGATAATAATATATATCTACTAAACTAAACCATGATTTCATAAAACTGATACAATGCTTATAAATCCTCACATATCAACGCGTTTGTTGCAAATCTTTTTGACTAAGTTGAAGTGAAAGTATCTATATTGTCCTTCTTATATAATCAATTATGGGACATCAGGAAGATTATACGAGGATACCTACTAGATTACTAGTTGGTCAGGTCAGTGTGTAGAATTAGTAGATACACATTCGACACAATTTTTGTCTAAAAAGTTGGCTACATTATGTTAGTGTTTCACTCTTTCTTGAAATGTAGAATTGGAAGTGATAGGTAAACCTATTTGATTATCACAAATCAGTTTCATATATTCATCTCTATTACATTTCATCTCGTGCAGAAGCTCTTTAAGCTATAACCTGCTAGAGCCACTTGATATCTTGCTTCTTCATTCATATTTTCTTCTGCTTATCATTTGATCATCAAATCTTATTTCTCTTTTTCAAAAGATATTAGATCAATTCCAATTAAAATACATAGCCTGAAGTTGATCATCTCTTAAAAGGAGATTCGTCCTGTTTGCTCCAAAGAACCTATATGCATTTTTCCTGTCTTGATGCAATATATTTTGTTCCTGAGATTCTTTGATATATCTAATAAAGTTAATCATCACATTTCAAATGACTCTCAGTTTCACAGAGAGTTAGAAGAGTTGATTAGCTATTGTAATAGAAAAAGAGATATGAAGTTGTGTGATTATAGGACAAAGGAATTCGTCAACAAGTAGTCATTACTGACCAGGTTGTTTTAGAGGCTCCCTTTTGTCAATGAACATGATTCGAGTCTATAGGTTATATGTGTGTTTACAATCGACCGTACTAGTATTTTCCAGTATATCCAATGCCTAGTCCTTTTTGCAAAGTGACTGTGTCATAGTCAGATTGTGCCACCTTAATACCTGTGAAGTACAATAGTGTATTCAGGTCTTTAGTTTGGATATGTATTGTGAGTTGCTTTTTAGGTAAGGAATGTCTTCATGATTATCTCTTTTTAGGTTGATATCATCAATATAGAGATCTAAGACAATAGGTTATTGTGAAAATAAAATATTAAGACAATATGTTAGCATCAGAAGAATGCTTGTAAATCATGGAATGATCTGCTTCCCCTCGAGCATGTCAAATTGTTGGACAATGAAAAAAAAACAGACAAAATCATGTCCTTAGAGATTGTTTAGGATTCCCGTAGCCGAGACACTAAACCAGAATCCTTTTGACCAACAAAACCTAATAGTTGCTTCAAGAGGCTTCTTCTGAAAGTCAACTGGATGAAGGACCTTGTCCTACTGATTTTGAGACCGATGAAACATGAGTCTCATGAGGACCAGGAGGCAAACAAGATGCAATTTTGGCCACCTGAGATAAAAAAAACTTCTGCAATCAGAGTTATATATTTTGAGTATACTCTTCTTAGCAATCTGTCAACCTTTTAAAGCTATAGATAATATCATTTGGTTCCGTTTTAACTGCACACCCAAGAATATTTGATTGTGATATTACCATGTGATACAGGAACTATTTCTTTGCCTGTCATGTCGAACAGCCATCTTTAACTTAACTCGGCAACTAGGATTAACATTTGCTTCTGCTACAGTTTTAGGTGTTGGGACAGTGGAACTTTGTAACGGAAGTGTTTTTAAAGTTTTTAAACAGTGAAACTTTAGTAAGTTATTCTTTTTAAAGCTTCTGCTTTCAACACTAGAAGCTAGGAATAATTGTGTGCTTTCAACTTTCCATCCATTGATCCCGTCTAGTTTCCTTTCTGTATCAAGGTTACAATTGAATTGTCAACAACAATACCTACTGAAATCCTACGGGTGAGGTCTGGTAAGGATAGAATGTACCCAGACCTTACCACTATTTTGTGGAGGTAGAGAGGTTTTCGATTGAAGACATTTCAATTAGATAGATTCATTTTCTAGGCAAACCAAATGAGAGATGAGAGGAGCTGTTTCCACATTTAACTTGTTTGAAGAAATTTATGCAAAAGGAGAACATGTTTGGATATTTGTAGTTCTAAAAAGATTTATTAGTGAATGGATGAAATAATGTGAACATATTTTGAAAATATATTTTCTCAAGAATTTGAATATTTTGCATTAATGAGTAGAATAAATGCTTATGTTTTGTCGATGTTTATATCTACTCTTAAATACCAGGCCTTGGGCTGTGTCAATGTTTCAATAGTTTATATTGAAGCAGATGGAAGACTGATGTTACGGAGTGCTTCGTCGAATTTCTCGATGCGAATTTAAATTTTAGTCAGCATGGTTTAAAAAAAAAGGGAAGAATGGCAATTCATGTTTTAGAATATTATAAGACTAGATGCACAAAAACACTCCTTAAATGGTGTATCGATTTCTTTATGAAAAATGCCCACTATGGAAATGTTCTTTTTGAACATTTTTCCATGAATTCCTGGGAATAATATGTAGCTTTTATTGTTTGACCGTTACATTGAAAATATTCGAGTACAATATTAACTAGATACTTCATCACATATTCCCAAAACACAAACACCTGATCGATGGTACTGTATCCTCTTACAGAATAAAAACAAGGGTGTGTTCGGTATGGAAGAAGATATTTTTTTTAAGAATTGGAGGTAGGGGATGAGAAATGGAGGAGAGGTTACGGGGATAGGAATCGAATTCTTATCAACAAGGTGAAAGTTTAGGTAGTCAATCAATTTTTTCAATTTTTTGTTTGGTTGGTCACAAGAATTGAAAAATATTTTTTATAGGAAAACACGTTCTTTAAAAAATAATAATAATAACTACTGAGTGCTATTCCATATTGATTATGTCCTCTTCACCTTCCAACACGCTTCATTTTCACTCATGATCTGGCCTGGTCGACCCAATCATGATATTGAAGGAGGGGACCTTTTCTCGAAAAAAAAAATTCTTGCAACTACGAAAACCTATTGATAAGGAAAAAACTTTACATTATTAAGCAACCTAAATAGAATATTTACTCAATTTAGTTATAATTATTAAAAATTACAAAGTCTATCCAACGTTTTTATTCACCAAATATTGGCTCCTCTCTTATTCGCTCGCCTCTTTCTCTCCCTTCTCATCAACGTTCTTGTGAAAAAATTTATAATTATGATGAGTGTCTGAGGTGGGATTTCTTGGATTGGTGGAAAATTTGAGAGAAATCGAAATAAGCTTACGCGTATATAATCAGATACATGCTCTCAAAATAATATTAAACACAGATAGACTCATTGAATTTTATACAAGCTTAGGTATATATAATTATATACATGTTTCCATATTCTATTGGATACACTCGTAAAATTTGTTATCAGATACATTGATATGTTAAATTGTGAAACTCATATATATAGAAGAAAATAGGGAGAGATACGAGTGAGAAAAACAATGTATCTTAAATACAATTTCATGAAGCGTCAGATATTATTGTACAAAAGTATTCTTTGGCAAGTTATACGTAATTATTGTAACTAATCATTTCATTAAGTAATTAACACCTATAGTATTTCTCAATCACTAATCGAAACTTGTAGAAAATAAAAGGATCATTTGGGCCATATCTCTAAGTTGGCTCTATAAAGATGAAACAAACAACAACTAGCCCAATCTCATGATTATGGGAAACATCTAATCTTTTTATCCAAACAATAATTGTCAAATTTTTTTCTAATATAACTTTATTCCCATCGACTTTATTCGATCGATAACTTAGATAGAAAGCTCTTTTTTTTTTATTTATAATGGGTTGTTGCCATCAAAGAGTTGACATGTAATATTTTTGGATAAAATTTGCCCACCAATAAGCAACATTATATTGGATATCTTTGTGAAGAAGTTGTAGTTGTTGGTTTTGTTTGTTTCAAAAAGAGACATTGTGATCGTCAACTTGTTTTTCCCTTTACATGTATGTATATTCATGTCATCATCATCCACTATACAAGTGACCCAACTTTTTATTATTCTCCGTTGTTCATGTTCACATAGTACATGTGCATTACGAGTTTTCGATGAATCGAGTCGCATATACTTTTTTGAATTTAAATGTAGATATTTTTTAATATAAAATTTGTTTTATCCTTAGTATTTTTTATGATTTTTGTGATCTATAAGCTGATTTGATAATGTAAAAATTCTTTTATACTATCTATAAAAGTTAATCATCTAAAAAGTAATAGATAATGCATCAATGTATATCCTTTTCCCTTTTTATCAAAGCGATACGTTTGAACAACAAGGATCGTAGTTTAGTAGCAAGTATTTTTTCATTATTTACTGGTGTTCTTGAGTTTGTAGTTATAGACTTATGGTGTTGTGTTGCCTTTATTAGGAAACAGTTAACCCCAATATGAAACTTTTTGATGTAAATTCGGATTTAATCGAGCTCTCGAAAAGAAAAAGTGATATGTTTGGATCTTGTAGGTTGATTAAATATTACACAATCCATTAAGGTGTCTTATACACTTATATTTAGCAAAACATAGGTTAAATTAGATAAACAAATATGTTGCTCAATGAAAGGCCACCCAAAAAGAGAAAATTGATTTGAGATAGAAATATTCTTTCTATGTAGTAAAAATGTAGGGACATAAAAAAGGGAGAAATGTAGTGAGGACCATATAATTATATATAATGATAGTGATGATGAGGAAGAGGGGGAAGGGAGACTGACAAAGAGGTAAAAATGGCTTTTTTATTTCTTTTGATGATTGTACAAAAAGCTATCCACGTGATTATTAACCCCACCACACTTCTCACACGGGGACTACCATCTCTGCTTCACTCTATCATTATTCGTCTTTAATCAGATATTTCAATTTTAAATTTCTTTAAATAAAGAATTATTGTTGTCATGTTAAACAACGTATCAAG